AACAAATATTCAATATTATTGTCATTCTTAGTGTTGAATTGATTTTCTTTTTGCATTAGTATTAATTTGATTTTAATTTAAGCTTTATTATAATTACCGACATCAGTGAACTATGATATTTATTGAATCATTCAGAATTCTAAGTTTCAAACTTAAAATAATATATTAAAAGATAAAAACTATGAAAAAGTATAAGAAATATTTAAAAATTATATCAAAGTAAATATTTTTATGTATAAAATAAAATTTTAAAATTATATATACAATGTCGGGTTGGTTTGGTCTCGAGTTGGTTTTATTAGTTAAAACCAAACCAATCCAAATATAGTCGGGGTTTTTTTTTGCAATATCAAACCAAGTCAAACCAACCACTAGTCGAGTTTTTTTTCTCGGTTTGCGATTTGATTCGGTTTTCGGTTTGATTTTGTACACCCCTAGTAGGTTCATTTCTTTCTTTTATTTTTTCTTTTTCTTTTTGGGGTTTAAGGAAGAATATATATGCTAGAATTATGTTCTTTTTGTTAAAAAAAGAAGAAGACAAAAACGATGTATTTTTGAATTGGGAAATAAATTAACTTGAGTTTTTCATTTTATCTTTTATCACAATCATTTATACTCACATAAATGTTATTTCAAAAGACTGTTCGACCAAATAAATAAACATAAAAAGCTAGATGAACATATATTAGTCGGTGATTAATTTAAAATAAATAAATAAATCTCTTATAAAAGGTCAAGATATACCTTTTTTTTAAATATTCTTTTTATATATTATATTATCAATATAGTATATATTTAGATTCAAAAAAAGAAAGTGAAAAAGCTAAGACGTAAGAGAGAGCAAAGATTAGTGGACATCGAGTTGTCATGATTTGGTACAGATAATGTGTGTTTTTTCTTTTACTTTCAGCGAAATTTTTAAAATTATGATAAAACTATCTTTATATAATTTTTAAATAACGAATTTAAATTATGAAAATTGTCATTAATATTTATACTATATAATGATGAACTGTCTATATAACACTCCTTAATAGGGGTGTGCATTCAGTTTTTCGGTTTGGTTTTATACTATTCTGTTTGGGTTTTTCGGTTTTTGGTTTTGAAGAAGTGTAAACAAACAAAGTAAATAATAAATTCAAAACCAAACCAAAAATCCAAAAAACCAATCCAAATTAGAATTCGGTTTGATTTGGTTTGGTTTTTTGGTTTAATCCAAATAGTGCACATCCCTACTCCTTAAAATACGATTCTTTCCAAATTCTATATAAACACAAAATACTTTGCACATTAGATTATCCTCTACTTTTCCCTTCTGGATTATTCAAAGTAGCACACTTCATATGTAGTTCCAAAATCAATCTCTTACACTCATATAACTAAAAAAAAAAGAAATTGAAAAAAAAATGAGAGCAGGTCGTTGAACAAATTATTTCGTCTTCATAGGGTTTGAGAAGGCTACCATCGAGCAGTATGACATAAGATAATTTATTTTAATACAAATATTATTAATTGTCTTTGAAAGTTTGATTCTATAATTCGATTCACACAATATTTTTTTAAAAAAGAAAAAAGAAAAGAGAAGAGTAGTTTGGTAAACAAACTATTCCGTACATGATATAAGACAATTTACTCTATTAATACAAGCATTAATGAGTATGTTTTATAATTTAAACTCGTAACCTATAAATTACTCAGAAATAATTTACTGCTATTTTGAAACTTTGCTTCACACTCATATGACTTTATGCTACTATAAATTAGACATATTTAGTAGTAGCCTCTTCACTCTTCTCCCTTCACCACAACAAAGAAAGAAAAATAAAATAAAAGAGATCCAATATGGCTGGCTTTTCAAAATTAGTTGCAACTATTCTCCTTATGTTGATGCTGGTTTTTTCTACTGGTAATTAATTTATTTTCCTTCCTATTTATTTTTTCATAACACGCTTATAAGTTTCAAAAGTTTTATAGATATATAAAGTTTATATTTAAAATTAAGAGTTTCGAAAATCTTACGATTTTTTTTTATAAATTTGATATGATTCAAAATTATGAGTACTACACTTATAAGGACCATGGTTTATCGGTTGTTAATTACTATGTAATATGTGTCGAGAGACGGATCTAAGATAAATTCTGCGAGTTTAACTGAATTTATTGTTTTCATTTTGAATTATATATTTAAAAAGAAGATAAAATATTAAACATATAATAAGATCATACACATTTTAAAACTAGTTGTTGATGTTGGAGTATCACCTCTAAAAATTTTAATACTCAATTATATATGATTTTCTCAAAATTATAGTACATACAAAAAAAAATATTAGGTGATTTTTAGCTAAAGTTGAATGATCGAAGTCTCCTTTAGGTTCAGTCGAAGAGATTGAAGCGAAGTCATCAATTCAACCATTCGAATGGTCTCCCCTAAGATTGACCTCTTTTCCAAATAAACCGAACCTCGATACCAGAGATGGAAGAGATCAAACACGGGACTAAGAAGCAAGCTCGCCTTCCTTTTTGATCATTTTGATAGAGGGGGATGAAGAAAGTGGACAAAACAGACTCACATTTCTCATCGAACAAATATTTTTCTATATGTTTTAGTCTTACTCGAAAAGAGTTATTTGATATTTGTTACTGGTGGAATGTGATAGATATTCCTTCAAATTAGTCGATATACATACAAACTTATCCAACTTTCACGATTTTAAAATAATGATCTTCTCGACAAGCATTTCATGAAGCATGTAGAATTTTTTTAAATAATAAATTCACAGTGAGACTTGAACTCACGACTCTAATAACTACTTTGATAGAACCATTTTAAATTGGATCACCATCTCATCTAAATATTTAAATAATTAAAAGGAACATATGTATATTTACTCAATTATATATTTTCATTCTAGACATACTAATATGACTCTAGATCCTGAATTCGTCGTCGTTATATAATGTATAGGGATGATAGCAGAGGCGAGGACATGCGAGTCGCAGAGCCGTCGATTCAAGGGGTTATGCTTCAGTAAGAGCAACTGTGGTTCTGTTTGCCATACGGAGGGGTTTAGCGGCGGCCATTGCCGTGGATTCCGTCGCCGTTGCTTCTGCACCAGACACTGTTAATTAATTAATTAATTAAGCTTTCCTATCGGAGGGAGTTGTTATTAATTATGCATGTTTTTCTATCTAATATGAATTAATGTCATGAAATAAAAAAAAAATTATCGACCATTTGAACTTCAAGAAATAGAATTGTTCTTTTTTCTTGGAGAGTTAATGGTTGCTATGGTTAATGTTATGTGTGGTAATATATATCGTATTGTATTGTATCTATTTAAATTGAAATTAAAGTTTATTGTGTCATGTCCTAAAATATCATTATTATGTAGAAGCATAAAATTTCATTTTATGCGAGTATCGTCCCAACGAAAGCAATACCTTTGATTTTTTATGGTCTCATTTTAAATTAATATTCCCTCTGTTCATCTTATATGACATAATTTCACGGAGTTTAAGAAAGAGAATTATAGTTAAATTTTGTGATTTAAAGTAAATCATCAATTTTATACAATTATAAACCATCTTATTAATGATGAAAATAACACTTAAAGTATAGTATTTTTATGAATTTTATATTTGAAAAAAAAATCGCATTCGAACTATTACCAAATATTTATCAAAACACATCTTTCGTTTCTAAATATAAAAATATAAAAAATAATTGTTTGTATGTCTCAATTTATATGACTGACCTCAAATCAATTTATATAACTTTGTTTTATTTTTAGCCAATTATAAAAAAATATCACAGTTCTATATTTGGTAATAACTAGGTAACTCAGCCGTGCTAAGCGCGGTCGTAAAATATTATATCAAAAATGTAAAATTAATCTTTTCATATTATTTGAATATAAAAGAGTTTTTAGTTCAAATTCAATTAAATAGATAAAAATTTAAATTTGAATTCATTTTATTATTCACGGAACTAATTTCTAACAAATAAAATATTCTATTACATAAAGGAAGAAAACGTACTTTTTCAGTTTTCGTTAAACATAAATTGATTAATGTCATGTAACCAGCTTGAAGATAAACAAAGCTCATTAAAAAAAGTATATGAGAAAAAAAGAAGAACATGGTCCATTCACTCCATCCATAATAAAGTGAAAATAACTGTAATTATATGTCGGAAATTATGACGTATACAAATTTAAAAAGTAGAGTTTAGAACATAAAATAAAAAACAAAACCGATTATTTTGTGTAATTTAAAAAAAAGATTAAATCAACCGGTAATTATATGATAATTGAAATAGATTGTATAAGATGTATGAAAATAATTTGATAAAATATAGAAATTGTAATGTCTAAAACGTAAAAATGAGCATTCGTAAATTATATTTAATTTAAATTGTTAAGTATAGTTGGATTGCCTAGCTAATTCTATTATAGACATGAAGGTGACATTTGGATAATCAAAATGTTATAATAATTTTGTGTAATGACCCGGAAAAATCACTTTTGGAAATTTTTGAACTATTTGTTAATTTCGATTATTTAGTTGACGGATAATTTTAAATAATTAATTTTAGTTGGTGGCTAATGGGCTAAGTGCATAATTTACTTAAGACCATCTATTATTTGACCCATATTTATTAAAATAAATTAGGGATTTGTCACTTTTTATTAAATAATTAATTTAGAAAAGAAAGGGAGGCAGAAACTTACTTAGGCGGATGAACGAGAGGAAAAAAGAACAGCCAAACTTCATGATTCAGATTGCATTGATTTGGAAGTTCAACGGAAGGGGAAGACTCAAGTCCCGGAGTTAATTCTTGATTGATATTCGCCTTTAAACAATGAATTGAGTATATGCATAAAGGTGACATCTTGTTAATTTATTATTACTTCATGTTAGAGGTAACAATTTAGGTTTCAAATTTGGTTAAGATCGTTTTCCTATTGGTGGGTGTGTCATGTTGGTGGGTTAATGTATGCAAGACTATTAATGGCTAAGGTGTTTGGTGGGTATAGAATGAGAAGGTTATAATTTTGTTTGCAGTTGGTGAATGGCGGCAGAATGTTGGTCAAAGGGAAGTGTGGTTTGGTAGGATAATATGTTAGTAATCATTCAGTAATTATTATCAAATTATAGTATAATAATTAGAAGGATAGGATGGAGAAAAGGATTTTGAGATTAACTTGTGTCAATTTGAGTTCTGATAAGTTTTGGTTTTCCCGTAATCTAGAAAGTTATGTTCATAATTCGGGTTTTTAGTGTTTCTCCAATTTCTTTTTATAATTATCATATTATGATTCAAGTTTTGATATATTAAGGTAGATAATTGAATATAAGGAGTAATTTATTATATGAATGCTATTAGAATTATGATATTGGAGAGGTTGGAACGTAACCCTAGACTTGAAATTTGAAAATATGAGGGTTGACATGATAATTGGCATCAAAATTTAGGAACTTGATTTTAGGTTTGTGTAAGTTTGGGGTCTAGGCTAGACCTATTGTAATATGGGTGTTGTTAGTTTGGAAAACTTATTGTGATTGATTACTTGAATAGATTGCATTGATTTGGAAGTTCAACGGAAGGGGAAGACTCAAGTCCCGGAGTTAATTCTTGATTGATTGAGGCAAGTGGATTTCTAAACCCTTGTTAAGTGTATGGAATTCATGTATTTCCTTGTAATATGTGTTTAGGGTAATGAGGCTTGGTGATGGGTTGACTTGTCCACATTGATTAATTCTAATGATGAAAAAGGGATAATAAAAGGCAATGTGATCAATTATTTGTGTGATGTGTTGAGAATTGTTTGAAAGGCTTGTTGAATCATTGTTGATGTTGTAGCCTGATTGTCTTGTTGTGAATTGTGCAATGTTATGAAAATGGTCATCTCCTCATTATTTGTGTGAACATGTCATTTGCATTGTTCTGAGAATGGTTGTGACAAGTGTTATGTGCATTGAGAAAGAATAAGAAAATAAAGAGGATGTACCATTTCGAGGGACGTATCGCGCGCCGCGATGGATACTATATTTCGAGGGACGTGTCGCGCGCCGCGACGGATACTATATTTCGAGGGACGTATCGCG